CTATTTTTTGGAGAGCTCTGTGTCTACCATGATGACCACTGCTTGTTTTGAGGCACTCAGAATCGGCATTTTATATTCTATGTACAGTGTACTTAGTGGTATACGGGACACAAGAGGTACTGCAAAAAACTTCCATGTTCAATCAAAAGTGACAGGATATGTCACAAACAATTTATCACTCTAGAACTAACTTGTGATCCAAAAATATCTTTGCTGTGCAAAAACTGATGTCTTTATGGGGCAAACGCCAAGGGGTACCTGACATGCTGTCGTCGTCCTCTTCTTGTTGCCTCTCCATAACCTTTGATAGAGTCACCAAAAACACCAATTATCTACAAGAGAAAAGAGGTTTGAGCTGTCAGAAAGGATCACATACAAACAGGTACTCCAGTATCAGTTCACACCTCTGCTCTGAATGAATCTTCTTTTAGGAAAATGCTCCTGGAGAATTTAACATGTCAAGAATAGAAGTGTTTATGAAACAAAACAGTTTAAGGAAAACTCCTCTGTATTCCAGTCCTTTTTATTCTTTACAGTCCCACATTAAATGTCTAAAACAAATCCTATTGATATCCTCCATTTGTACTGTTCTCTGAGATGAAGACATGTAAACTGACATTTTGTGTAAAAATGAAAAAAAAAAGCACAAAATATTTGCTCACGTCTCCTCCAAGAGAGTACGTTTCAAAGTTTAAAATGCAAATGCACTCCCCTTCATATTATCTAGATAGATATATCTATCTATATAACATCAATATATTCATATTACCTATAATATGAATCTTAGATTCATATTATCTAAAAAACATTACTGAATAAGAAATTTGGTTATCTTTTTTCAGATCTATAGTCAGAGTAGATCAACTTAGTCTTAAACTAACTTTAAATCTGGTTAGAAGGGGGGGTTAAGTTTTACTGTGCAAGTACTGGAAAGAAGTTTTAATTCTACAAACTTGTTCCAAAGCAGTCTTCATTTTTATTTGAGCAACAACATGTCACTTAATTTCTAGGTTATCCTCAAAGGCATCTGTGGCAACCTTGTTTGAAAGATGTTTCGTCTGAAGTAGTTTTTTTTTTTTAAATCTAGTTTCATATTGATTTTTGTTTACACCTAGCTATGACAACTGTGTGATCCCATGACTCTTCTACACCTGTACTCCAGATAGCCAAAAGGATGCTAATTGTGCTCCACATAAGAAAATTTAAATTCCTGGGGAATCAGTGCACAGAGTGACAGAACCATAGTGAAGTGTCACAATAGAGTAAGTGTGCTGAGAAAAGGCAGCAGGTAAGATCTACAGAGCTTAGTGGGACCAGTTGCCCCTCTGACCAGCAGAACTCAAGTGCTGCATTTAGCAGGCACTCAGAAAAGTCCCCAATACTTTCTGTATGGTGACACAACCACATGCTCTGAAGGGCAGACTGTATTTCCATCACTTTTTATGCTGTGGCTTCTAGCAGGCTAGTTCACACAAGGTCAATGCTTGCACTGACTTGTCCTAATGGAGGCTCTGCTCTGGAGCTGAGCCAACCCATGCCAGCTAAAAGTGCTGGCAGAACTGCTAAAGCACCACGTGGGTCTTCATGTAGCTCGTGAGACTCCTTGCACAAAGTTTTGACTTGAAGAGAGGCAGTAACTATCGAGAAACACAAATTTATGACTAAAGTTCAAAAACCAACCTCGGGGTGAGATCTGCATTTCTCCAAGGCATCTCCATAGATCTTATTTGGACTAGAAGAAGAGAATAGCTCTTTAAAAATCACATAGAACAAACCACCTGTAACAGAAACAACATCAGATGCAATGAAAAGTTACCAAACCAGATGGAATTAATGAAAAGTGTCTCCTGATAAAGAATGTAATTTTAAAAAATAACCTGTAACACCAAGTCCAACAAGCACCACAATAAAATAGGTAAAGTCTCTTCCAGCTTCTTTCACTGAAATGAAACACAAAACACATAAATTACAACCTTGGATAATAACACTTGTATCATCTTCTTACATGAATGCTCTTCTGCTAGTCTGTAGCTCAAATAACATCTTAGCAGAAGAAAAAATTCCAGTAGCAGTTTCCATAATGCATCATTGATGTGAAAGAGACCATGGAACATCTCTTATATTGTACAGGGCATGTTTGTGTCTCTGTGTTAAGCCTTATTACTTTGCCAGATGTTTTCAAGATCCAAAGTAGCAATTACTGCTACTTTTTGGGTGCATGAGAGCCAGATTTTTCAGGAACTAATGAGGTATTTAGCACTGCAGCATTCATGCTACCACCTAAACCCACAATCATTGAAATCCTTATGCAAAGAAAAGAAGTAAAAATAAAAAAGTAAAAGTTTATAATTTGCACACACTGAAAATAATTGATTTTATGAATTAGCAATCAACAGAACAGTAAAACGGGGCATATCAGAACAAAATAATTTTTTAAAAACATAATTAACTGCTGTTTGTCTGATTAGTTTTTATCTTCCAATTTTGATCTGAAGTACAAGTGTCAGTATATACTGCAAAATAAGTCATATGAGATTCTATGTTTCAAAATATTTGAGTACTTGGAAAGAGACTACTATCTTTTAGTGAAAAAGTGTGCATTTCAGTGGAGTACAAGTTATGGAGGAAACATTAACTGTTTCTCCTGGAGTCTTCTAATCAGTTAAAGGTGTTTTCCGTAAGTAATTTCAAAGTACTCAAATTTTTTGAGGCTAATTATGTAGTAACCACTTTTCCCTGAAGTGAATGAGACCAACTAAAGTGAAGGCAATCCATAAAGAAACTACCATCACATGCAGAGCTTTGACAATGTTGTTGGAAGTGAACTTATTTCAACAGCCGTACAGACAGGCTGCATGTGATAGGTTTTCCTTCTGAAATGGAAAATGAGAGGCTCTTACATCTTGTGTCTGATAATTACTTACATCAACAGGCTGTTTCGAAGTCATATAACTTGTTCTGATTGTGCAATGTATACACAGAAATGTAACATCTGCTCCAAACAATACGATGGGAAAAGAAACCGGCTTGGTGTGCTGAGGTTGTTTTTTTCTAGATACTTGATGTTTGGAACTACAAAACTTTTAGCAGCAGAAGGAAACGACTCCAGCCCTTCGGAGCAGCACACAGCATCCTCCGCCTTACCTTTCTGAGCCGCCGACACCAGCGTTTCCTCGTTCAGCGCCCTTTGCACGGACACATCTTTGCTATTACCGCCAGGTTTTGCAGCTTTCAGCCTTCCAGCCTGCGTGCCGAAGCTCTGACGGGCGGCCCTGAGCGGCAGCGGGGGCTGGTGCCGCCACCTCAGGCAGGAGCAGGACGCGGAGCCGGCCCCCAGGAGCGCCCACCCGCGAGCGGCGAGCAGCCAGCGGCCCAGGCAGCCCCGCCCGAGGGAGGCGGGCAGCGGCCGGGGCAGCACGCCGGGCATGGCTCCCGCCGCCCGCGCACGGCCACGGCCGGGGCAGGCGAGCCGAACGGAGACTTTGTGCCGCTCGCCACCGCTCTCCCGGGGAACCCTCGGGGAAGTGCCCGGGCAGCCTCCCGCCCCGAGCGGCCGCTGCTCCAGCTCAGGAGCCCACCTGAACCTTTACCGCCGCCGGTCGCCGCTGGCCGCTGCCCCGGCGGAAATGTTTGGGACGGCGGAGCAGCGAGCGGCGGCGGCGGGTCCTGGGAGCCGTAGTTTGAGCGGGCTCCCTCTCCCGCCCGCCGCCGGGAGCGGCTCCCAGCGAGGTCACTACAGCGCCCGCCATGCCCAGCGCCGCCGCTGCCACCGCCACAGCCCGCCCTCCGCGGGCGGGACCCCCGGCTCGTTTCAGAGGGTGGGGGGGGGTCTGCTCGCAGCGCCTGTGGTGCTGTTCACCCTTTTAAAGCTGTGTTTTCATACATGGTTTTCTTGGCCTTGCACATATATGTGTGTTAGAGCGATGCAGTTGACGTTTCCACGGATGGAGACGGCTAGCGGGATGTGGACAGGCTAAATCGATGTGCTGAGATCGACGGCACGAGGTTCAAACAAGGTCAAGTGTCAGGTGCTGCTCGAACCGCAGGCAGCGCTGGGGACAGAGTGGCTGGAGAGGTGCTGATGGAAAAGGAGCTGGGGGTGCTGATCGACAGCTGCTGAACGTGAGCCACTGTGTGCCCAGGTGGCCAAAGCCAATGGCTTCCTGGCCTGTGTCAAAACCAGTGCTGTGAGCAGGACTAGGGAGGTGATTGTCCCACTGTACTTGGCACTGTTGAGGCTGCGTACCTTGAGTTCTGTGCTCAGTTTTGAAGCCCTCGATTTAAGGAGGACATTGAGCTGCTGGAGCGGGTCCGGAGAAGTACAATGGAACTGGTGAAGCTGGAGCACAAGTCTTAGGAGGAGCAGCTGAGGGAGCTGGGGATGTTTAGCTTGGAGAAAATGAGGCTCAGGGAGACTTTATCACTCTGTACAAATCCATGGAAGGAGGCTGTGGCCAGGTGGGAGACAGCGTCTTCTCCGACAAGAGGAAGTGACCTCAAGTTGTACCAGGGGAGGTTTAGGTTGGACATTAGGAAGAATTTCTTCACACAAAAGACGGTTAGACATTGGAAAGAGCTGCTAAGGGAGGTGGTGGAGCCACCGACCCCGGAGATTTTTAAGGAAAGACTGGAATTGGCACTTAGTGCTGTGGTCTAATTGACACGGTGGTGTTTGGCCATAGATTGGACTAAGTAATCTCAGAGGTCCTAATTAATTCTGCGAATCTGAGACCCGAGAACACAGTGCCCGAGAGCTCGGAGCTCACTGCGGGCCGGGGCAGGCGCCAGGGCGCTCATGGCGCAGCACTGTCGTTCGCCGGGACGTTAACGCTTCCCGAGCGCCGCGCACGGCCGCGCTCCCGGGCGCCGCCTTCCCCGGGCCGCGCTCCCGGGCACCGCCTCCCTCGGGCTGCGGCCGTCCCACCCCGCCCCAGGGCGTATCTCGGGCGGTGGCAGCGCTTGTTCCTCCCCTCCCCTCCCCTCCCCGCCGGTGGTGCGACGCCGCCGCTGTCCGCGGCGCAGCGGCCATGGCGACGGGCCGTGGCAGGTAACCGCGGGCGCGCCGAGCGGGGCTCTGCCGGCCCGGGGCTGCCTGCTCGGCCTTCTTCACCTTTCCCGGGGAGGGTGGTTTGCTGTTTTCTCTCAGCTCCCATTGCTCCTCTGGGAAACTTATTTCACCTGCTCCACGGCTCTGGTTTCTAGTTCTTTACTCTTCACGGCGAGGGCTGTGGCCATGGTGCTCTTCCCTCCCTACCCCTGGCCCTGTGAGCGCCTTGCAGAGGGAGAACGCTGGTGTTGCCAGGTGCATGGAGGCCTGGGTTTAACACTTTTTTTGTCTGCCTGGGAAGGGGAGCTTAAACTTCGGTATGTCCGTCAGCTTGGAGGAGGTGCTGTAGTGACAATACACAGAGTTAGTTTGATGGCTACTTTGTGTGTGTTCGGGGTGGTTAGGCCTTTGTAATAAATAGGAGGGTTTCACTGTGCAAGGTGTGATTACCTTAATTCTTACAGTACAGGTTCAGCTTTCAAAATTTTAAAGCATCAGTCTGAGAGGCAAAGTTGATTTTTCTACTGATCCATTTCTTCAGCCTTGGCTTCAGAGCAGTTTCATTCCCCCTGCTGGTTTTCTTGTTGTTGTTTGTTTTTTGTTTTTTTTTTTTTTTTTTTTTTTAACCTGCAAATGGATTGGGGTAATACCCACCTTTTAAAAAGACTGAAATTGTTAGCTGAGGGAACAAAACCCAACCAACCCATGTCAAAACATTTTTTTTTTAAATTTTTTAAAATTTTTTTAAAATTTTATTTTTGTTTGTCCCCAGCTATGCTTTAACAGGTGGAGGAGACAGGTTTTATCACTACTTAAAACTTTGTTTATGTTATTTGAAATAATAACGTAAAATACATGAAAGACCATTATTTGCTGACCATGAAAAAAACAGGGCACATTGCAAGTTGCAGGGTGTGAAAGTGAAAATACTGGTACAAAACTGAGCCCCACAGGTTGAAAGCTAATGAAAAGCAATTGAAGTTGTTGTGCTTCTTACGTAAAATTGTCTCAGTGGTTCTAGAAATTTCTAAAGAGGGGGTGTAACAGCTGTCATTGGTTTTTTAATCTTAGGCTTATCTGCCCAAGCTGTGTCAATGCAATGTAAAAGCATTCTGTTAATGCTAATTTAAAATCTTAGCACACACAGTACTTGAAAAGTAATTTATGGATTGGGTTTGCTGTTTGTTTCTTCACACCTTGAGAATATTTTTGTTTTGGAAGATGCAAAACTTCCGCAGTTTTTTTTAAAATTGAAACTTACAAAAACAATAGCTGTTACATTAAAGCTTTCAAGGAATGTGTGGGCAGAATGTTTCTTTCTTCGGATATATCTCCCTGGGGTGAAGAAAGGGTGGGTGATTTAAATGAGCAAGAAGGACTGAATACAGGCTATGCAGGTTATGCTTGTCCATGGTAGCGAGCTTTAAAATCCAGAGTCCAGCTTCTTACTTGAATTAGTCCTGTGGCTGGAGTCTGTGAAGTTGTGTCCCCATAGAGTATGCCCAAACTCTGCTTTCAGCATGGATTCAGGGCAGAATAGCCTGGGATGTGCTGCCCTGGAGCATACAGAAGTGATAGCTCTGCTGCTGTTGAACATAACTTGTGTCTCTAAATCTCTTTAATGGCACTTTGTTAGTGCCTCATCATCTAACAGTTCTTGATAATGATACATGAGTCAAACCCTTGTTTGATCTCCAGGTTGTATTTATTATAAAACTACTTTTTTTAGTTGTTAATTTAGCTGGTCTATCAGGATTGGCACCCAAGCTGAAATGTGCTTGTCTTTTTTTGTTAAGCTTATAACAATTCTCAATAAAATGTCTTGGATTGGGTTTTTTTTTTTACATAGCACAGTTGACAATGTAGACCAGAGTTGTCAATTTCTTTTGGTTTTATTTTTCTTTGAGCATAAATCAATCTTAAATCAAAACCAGTAGGCATTAAATGTATGTGGTACCCATATAGTTTAAAATTGGCTATTTCCCCCCCATATGGATTGGTTGCCTAGAAACCCAGAGCTGGTTTGGCTAGGTGTTGGAAATCTGCTGGCAATTTAAAACATCAATAATGCAGTGAATGGGGAGCTCTGACTGCTTGGTGGCATCAGTGGGTATGAAGTGTAAGGATTTGGTTTAAGATTGAAGCTCTGTCTCCATATTTCACTACTTAATGATAGTATTTGTTTGCAATTACAGCTTATGAAGTCCTTCCTATCAGAAAACTTGGAAAAATGTGTGAGTGGTTGGATTGTAAGAATTTGTGTTAGAAATATGTAAAGTTCCTTTCTTTTCTATCCAAATTGTGATGTGGAAGTGTTGCCAAAATACGTTCTTTCGCTGTGGTGTGCAAGAGGCCAATCCAGACACAGGGTTGAGGTATTTGATGTATTTACAGTTCTGCACAGAAGGGAGTGCTGAGTGGCAAATTCACAAAGCTGACACACCAACTATTAAAATGTTTTACGAATTGATGCATTTTAGCTAAGGGAGGAATTAGTTTTCTTTGGCTACAAGTTGCATAATTCTCTTATTAATTCCTTTTCTATCTTCTATTGGGTAATGATTCTCTTGCTTCTCACACTAATTACTTTGCATGTTCAGTCTTTATCTTTTTTGAGTCAGTGAGTTTCTTGGGTCAGTGATCGCAATCTCACATTTCTGGAAGCTGGAGCTGATTTCAGCACAATTGCTGAGTTAGCTTTAATAATTTCTTCCTTATCTTGGGAGTTGTTCCATGTATCCTTGTGGCCTGTAAATTCTGCATTCTTTGTGTCCACTAGTAGTGGCCATCCTTCTTCCCAAGCTTTGTTAACATCCCCCTAGGTTTGAAATCAGTGAAGCATGTCAAGCCCTAAACCTTAACAAAGCGATTCTGCCAACAAGTAATTTGTCTAACATCTGGACATCCCTTAGAGGTTGTTAGCTGCCCTCTGTTTCATGGATTAAATCTCCTTTCTTGCTCTTTATGCAAGTAAACAGCATAGTATAGTATGAAAGTATACAAATTCTTTTTGACCTGCAACAGTTTCTGAGGAAATTTCAAGGTATTGTTTTTATCTGGTATCTTTTAATGGCTTAGCAAAGTTAGGTGGCTCAAAAATGTCTCTGGAGTAATGTGAAACAGAAGATTAATCAGTGAGTGTGACTTGCCGCAGGGGCCTCAGTGGAGCTTGGTTGTGGTGGCCAAGCAGTGGTGCTGCTGTATAAGGGTAATAGATCTCTACTGGATTCAAACTGATTTGGGGGAACACTATTATTCCCTTTGCCTGCTGTGAGAGATCGATCACAGGATTGACAGCTGTGAGTTTAAATCTGAATCTTCTTGATGCCAGGTATTTTAACATGGGTGTAATTGTTCAAGTAATAATGGTTGCCATGTGATGTATTCCCTGCATCCTGCATTGGTTGAAATGTTGTTTCTAGGTGTGCACAGTATGTGTATTCCTACATTTTGCGAATGTGTGACTCTTAACAGCTTTTCCTTCTTACAAGTAGGTTAAGGACCTTTGCTGCCAGGCCTAGGGATTGTTCTGAAATGGTAAATGCTGGAATTAAAAATCTGTACTTGACACCTCCCATAAAACTGAAACCAAATGTGCGCATTGAGAGGTGAGTATGTCTTTTATGTTAGGAGTAAGAGTGGAAGTCCCCCTGTAAGCTGTCTTTTGACTGCTTGCAGTAATTATATTCATATCTTGGAGATTTCTTTGTCAGATACTCCGAGTTGAAAAGGTTTGCTTTCCTGGCCTACTTTAGGATCCTGTGTTTGCCTTCTAATGTTTTCTGGCATGGTTCTCCTTTGTGTTCTTTTCTAAGTTCATAAGGAATATATATGTTTTCCAAGCTGTGTGAAGCCTTCAGCCGCTCCTTTGCAAGTCATGGGCACTCAAAAAAATCTAAGAATATGTTATCTGAAAAAGTAATTAGTTTTCCTTGTTTTATACATTTGATAGCTTGTAGTGATTTCACTGTTTTGCATTGGATGGCCAGTTTAGTACCTCAATGCTGTCAGACTGGTGTAATGGTGAGAGAAAAAAGAAAAAAATCCTTTCAGCTTCCTTCAAAGGAAGAAGAATACGGTTGAAAATTGTGGATCAAGTGTATTATTTTAGCTAATCTGCAGCTAAGATATCACTTCTAAATTATTTCTGGAATGAGTGCATTAACTGCTTTAGGCTTACAGTGTATGAGTTATTTCACATAATAACAGTGCCAGTTTTGGCACGTTGCTTCTGTGTCAATGCAACTAAGATTCTGAGTTTAATACAAACATTGAGGTATTGGCATTATCACGCTACTCTTTAAAGGGTACCCTCTGCTTCTGAAATAATGTTAGAAATCAACAAGTGTTGCAAATAACACTTGCAGTAATAAAAGGACAAGAGGCACAGCTGGCTTGTTGACTTTCAGAGCACCTTTTATTTGCAGCACTGATTTTGATGTGACCATACTCAATGCTCAAGAAAATTAGAGTATAAAATTCACATGTCTTAAACTCTGTGCAGTTATGAGTTACTGCTCAAATGGTATGAGGTTCCTGTCTCTTAATGCAAAAATCACATTGGCTCATCTCCAGGGTATGTTCTGCTTGCCATGCTTAGACTGGCACTTGCATTTCAGGCAGCCTTCCAGATGCACAGAGACATTGACATTTTCAAGATAACATTTGGCTCTTACTTTGAAGTTCACATCTTTCTGTTGACATAAATGAAAACTGCACAAGACCCCTGAGCATGTACAGTTTGAAGATTATGATGAGGTAGAGCATGATCTTGCTGTTAGGGTAGGACATTTCTATTCCGGTGCATCCTGAGACCTGACACCGCAGTCAAAAGGGAGAGTGAATATATCTGCAGTTTTGCAAATGCTGGTGTTTATGGAATAAATGTTAAAATCATGGTAAAAGCAGTAAGGAACTGAAGCAAAATGAGGTAGTTTCATGTAAAACATAGTTAAAGTTAACAAAGTTTAATGAAAATGCCAACCCATAACTTTTCATGTAACTGTGCTGTGCCACTTGAATAAGTTATGATGAATTATTTTAGGCAAATGCCGCATGCCAGAGAGTGAAATTAGAACCCAAACTCCACAGTTTAACTCTTCAAGTGATTTTTGATTAATCTGTTTACAACCTGCTGGCTTCCACCTCTTCTGTTTTTGTCTGGTTTGAAATTAAAATTCTCTGCCATTGTCATTTCTGAGTTTGCAGGCAAGTCTAACAGTATTCATTTTTCTTTTCCAGCATGCCATCAGAAATGCTGCTGAAGATATTTTCCTATTTGGATGCTGTGTCCCTATTGGCTGTTGGTTGTGTGAATAAGCGCTTCTATGAGCTGGCCAATGACAAGTAAGGAAGAAGAAAGGTCTCAGTTGTTCTGTAGATGTGTTTGCCTGAATTATGAGTCCTTCTAATTTAGTTTCTCTGATGCCAGAGCTCTGATGCATGCACCTATGGGCAGTTACTCTGCTGAAATTGCCCTGCATAGCCCACAGCATGTGTTGCATGGAATTCTAGCTGTGCAGAGCCTGTTATTTAATGGGAGTTACAAGGCAAAAATTAAATCCAGTGCTTTGAAATGTTGCTGTCAGCACTTTTTTTTGTTTTAAAATTTACGACTATTTCTTTGTATTCACATGGACCTGCACAAACTTTTCAGTTCACGTGATCCTTAATGGTGTGTCTCCAGTAGCTGTATGGAATTGTCATAGCTTTCACAGTTTTGAAGTCTTCCTTAATTCTTTCATCAGGTTTTTGCAGAGGGATTGATTCAATCAAATGATCCACTAGTGGTTTTTATCTCTTGCTCAGTTTGTGAAGTTTTAGTGATTTCTAAATGAGAACAAAAGAGATGAAGGTAAATACCAACACAATTTTTTCTAAGGATTGCGTATACAGAGTTAATAAATTGCTCCTACCAATATGATGATAATTTTGTCAAAGTGTAAAGAGGAGAGACCCAGGTTGGTATGTGATAACCAGGATCTGGGCATCCTTTTCTTTCCAAGATTCTACTGCATTAGTGTTTGAATAAGAGAATGTCTTCCTCTATAGGAAGTTGCTGTACCTGGTATGACTCTATTTCTCCCTTTTTTACTGAAACTTGTACGGTGGATTAATTCGTTTACCTCGGCATTGATACCTTTAGAACTGATGAATTTAAAGGGAAGATCTGTAATCCAGATTTAGGTTTTGAGGCTGTCAGCGGATAAGGGTAGATAAAAATTACATAGCTGACACAAATTACCAATCTTGGCATGTGTTTTCCACTTCAGGGTGGTAAGGCAGGATAAAATCACTGTGGCTGTTCAGGAGAAGATAATTCATCTGTCTCCATCTCGACGATCTCTGTTTCCATTTTCTAACCAACAGAGATTAGTGTATGTGCACAAATGGGACTTGGGGAAGAGTTAGTTTCCCTTATCTAGGAGCCTGATTGGTTCAGTGGGACCAGGTCATTTCTTTCTGATGGATTTAATGGACCTTCTCAAGACCCTGCGTCTTGCGGTGCAAGAGAATGAGAATGAGAAACTGCATAAACAGAAGTTTTAATTGAAGTCCCTGCATATTTCTGTGACAAATCTGACCTTGGTTTTTAGGCTGAGTATCTTTTTTAGGATATTTCTGCTGTCCTTGATGTACGGGGTGATGTTCTTGATGCAACAGGACCATCAGTCTTTCATTGTGGTATGTCTGTGTTGCCTAATGCAGTGATTTGTCTTTTGGCTGTTTGTATAATGTGTGTGCTTGAGCAGTTTTTGCACTGATGTCTCCAATATAACGGTTGAAGACAAGGAAATGTTTATGACCCCTCCCTTTCTGCACCCTCCGTGCCCCAGCATGGAGTATTCCAGCCTTCCTGTCATGCAGTGTGGGAAGTTCACAGATATGGTCTGCCTGCGAAAACTTGAAGATTCTGATCACCAGCAGAATGTGCTTGTGTGAGAGGATGTGAGAGCACAGGGGAAAGTCTTTTGCCATTGTGGTCAAGTGATGGCTGATGATGATGTGTCTGATTCTGGCATTTGACTTAGCAGTAAAACGTTTGTTTGGCTTGTTATAGTAATATCCAGTAAGAGGCCTTGAGATGAGTATTAACAATTTGAGGCAAGAAGGGCATACATTCTGCTGTGAAAGAGGCAAACTTGTGCTTCCCTGTTGGATGCCTTTTTGATTTATATGTCCTGAATTCTTCAGAAGGTGAGGATGAGGGGGCAGTGATACCTTCCTAAACACTTGTGATTCCAAGTCCTCCTTCATCTTCTTCTCTGTCTTCCTGACCTAGCTGAATTTTTGAGTTTCTTGAACTAATTTCTTTGCTTGCACAACACTGTTTTGGGAAACCAAGAAGCAATATGTTACTGGGAGTGAGGATGAGAATGATAGGTATTTGTCATTAGTCTGTTTTCAGTCAACTAAATTGCTTGAGTCTGCAACTTCAAAATGCAGGAAATGCCTACTGCTACTAAGCCCTCTCTTTTCAGCATCATACAGTAAGATGCAGAGTATCTCCCTCCATCAAAGGGTGTCTCTCTTGGGAAGGGGTTTCTAGTTAACAGCAGAGTTTTATAGGAGATTATTTTACTGGACTTTTTAGGCTGGTGAAGACCAATTGGATGATATAAAGCTCAAATTTCTCTGGTGATGTTGTATTAAGGGCATCTGTCCTTTTTTGATCACTGGACAATTCTAAACTGCTTTGGAGTTAAAAAGTATTTCCCTTCTCCATCAGAAATGTTTTATACTATCTGGTAACTTGGCTGCCTTGTATAGTGTTAAAATAGAAGGATCTTAAAACTTTCAGTTATGGGATTGTTCTTTATGTTACCCTTCTCACCCTGCTTTTGGTGACAGGAAGGTTGAAAACTCTTGACTGTGAACCCACCTTTACCAGTCACAGTAGCTTATTTATTGGTCTGTGTGTTTTAGACACTTTTGTCTCAAAAAATGGCAGTGGGGAATTCTGTATATATCTGCAGAGCAGTGGGCTGGAAGGTTTTTGCAAAATCCCTGAATAGGTTTGCATCAATAACCAGAGCCTGGCTCTCAGCATGTGGGGGCTTATTCTCAGTGGCTGATGAATTGAGAATGGTTTTGATGGGTAGGAGGCAGTGTGGGATGGATCTAGTCCTTGAATGCTTTGAGGAGAGGGGAAGATGCCATAAAATGCTCAGTAGTGTAAGTTTGCCTGAGGATAAGTGAGAACTGGTAAAGGTAATCTTGCTGATAAATGGTGGAAAATGTCTCTTAAGAATTTGTTGCCCTTGCTATTCATTTTCTTTAGTGCAGTTATGTACACTATATGTCTAGCACTTTAGAATGAGAAAACTTATTGGCAACCTGTATTCACAGATTACTGTTTGAATTCTTTTAGGTTCCTGTACTCAGTATTCTGTGAATTGTCCTAGAGATACTGGAGTATGAGGGGCTGAATTGTGACCTCATAGTTTTCCTGGCATGAAAGAGATGAACCCATCATTACAGTCACATATTTATTTGACTTCAGAAAGTCATGTCTTCTCTGGGCTTTTCCAAAGAGAGTGAAGAAGGGATTGACATGACTTTGGTACCACCAAGCAAAGGTGATTCTAAATTGTCCTCTTACACACCGCTTTCAGCTGGATCTGAGAAACTTGAAGTGTACAGATTATCTTTGTTGAATAGGAGGTATTAAACCGCTTTTTCCACTGATTTTCTATGAGGATGATGCATCATTATTTTGGGGTGGAATTTTCAAAATTTTTTGCTTAACCTTTATCAGTTTTCACTTACTTTGCTGACTATGACTGTGCTATCACAGAACTTCATCCTGGCTCCTGTATCTTCGGGAAGACAGACAAGAATGTTTTTGTGCTAACACTATGCTCAGTGGTAGCTGAGATGTGCATATAAAAAAATGAAGTGACTATTCTTGAAATTTACTCTGCTTTATTCTGTTTTTATTTTCAGCGGAATTTGGCTGAAACTGTATTCCAGGTCTTTGCACCCAAAATGGACAATTTGGAAAATGAAGCCTAAACAAACAGAAAATGTCTCTTTGGCCTGTGCTGCTGTAAATGATAAAAAGCCTGGGTACTGGAAGAAAGAATACATCTTCAAACAAACATCTGCCTTCAAAGCTAGAGTAATGCGGCTTGTTAAATTTCTAGATCCTTATACAGGTCTTCCATGTAAAAACAAAGAAGCTATGAAGTAAGCAATGCCTTGTCACAAAGATTTACTTGAGAGCAGTGTACAAAATACTAATGATGTGGGGGGGTATAGAATTAGAGCTTAAAAATGTATATCATAATGGGAAGATACAATGATAATCTATAAATGACTGAAACTGAGGAACATAAGTAGCAGCTAGTAGAAATTTAAAAATTCTGTTGAAAGCACAGTTCAAGTTTTATCACTTTGGGAATTTGTTTTTAAACACCCCTCTCTCTTCTCAATTCCTAAATAACAGAGTCTCTGGGTTGAGTTGGATAATTGTTCTAAAGGACAAAAATGGAAAAGAACATGTAGTAGAGAAGCCAAATCTGTCATTTAAGGACACATCTGTTACCGTACTTTGGCATGGTATAGACTGGCCATGCTTAGACATGCTGTCAACCCTAAAACTGTTTGGAGTTACACCATTGCTTCCTGACCAAAGCATACCTCCCAACAAGAATGGGTGAGTTTTAACATAGGATTTTTGAGGATTTTTTGGGTGCAACTGGTTGATAATGTGTCTATACAACCTATCTGACATTTGTTTGACTCAATAAGTTAACTCTTCATTAGAAAGCCTCCCTGCAGTATTTCTTTCTACGTTCTTCTCTTCTTTGGTAGAGTTTTTCAGCAAGAAATAGTATCATCCAGCAAGCTTATGGCATTAATTCACAGGTTAATGTAGCTATTGGCATATGATATGCAGACTGATAGGTCCTGACTTGAAAAGCTGAATCTAAGGTATAGACACAAATGAGCATGAAAGAAAAATGTAAATCCAGGAGAATTTATTGTGAGAAATTTAGCTTGGAAAAGTTCATCACTATTTATGTGGCTACAGTCAGGTAATCTATGTTGTTAAAATTTATTTTCTGTCTGGTAGGTGTGTGTGTGAATTTAGGTGTTTAACTATGCATGCAATCTTCAGTATATGCATATAAAGTCACACAGTCCACAGCATGTCCCTTGTTTTTTAACTTAAATATGTACAATGGTTTTTGTCATTATATTCTAAAAATATATTTAAATGAAAAGTGTCTATTTGAGGTATTTGTTTGCTGTCCAGGAGTTTAGCACACATCTGGGCCTTTGTGTACAGTAGGTGCAGTGTCAGCTACATGCTTCTTACACAAAGCCCCAAGCCATAGAGCTTTGAAAAGAGAGAATTGTTCACCTACAAAACACTGGGTTCCTCAACCAGAAGAAAAGTATTTACTTAAAAAAGAAATAAATCAAGGGAAGCTTTTGTTTAAAGTTAGCTGAACAAGTCTTGCAGTCAAATTATGTAGGAAATGTAGTTGTTTTACCAAGACGATGATTCATATGTAGAAAATAAAAAAGAAAGCTTGCAGGCAATTGATGTACTTATTTCACAGAGTTACAGGTTTTTACAAATTGTGACTATAGATGAAGGCAGTGGATTCACCAGTTTCAGTATGTCATTGTTAAGACTGTAAGTGCAGGGACAGGCCTGATTGACTTAAAGATGGAAAGGGTTGATGTTGATTAGGATGAAATTTTTTACTGTGAGGGTGGGGGGATACTGGGACAGGTTGTCTGGGAAGGTTGTGGATGCCCCATCCCAGGCAGTGTTCAGTGTGTAGTTGTAGGTGATACTACAGTAATATCATATGGAAACCTAGGAACTGTTTTGAATATAGTAAGAACCTAAGTCTGAAAAGGATTTTAGAAAAACTTCTTTCTTCATTCTGAATAGGTAATGGAAACTCTGCTTTTTGCTCTTTTTTTTAATGTGTCATTAGTTAATAAGAATGTCCACGAACATAAATACAAGAGTCTTTTGGAGCTAAATGGCTTTAATTATAGGTAAAATATAGAAAAAAAATTCTGAAAAAGGAAAGCTTCCCATAACACAAACTTTTAATTCATTATATGTACAATTTGATCCTTTCCTTTGAATTTTGCTTCACGGTGATAAGTGTTCAGTGATTCCATCTAGTATCAATAAAGTATCAAAAACAAACTGTAGAGTAAATCTGTGTTTTGAAAAATTGGGCAAGCACATAAGTTCTTCTTTTTTAAAGTGTATTTTAGAAGATCATGTAGTGTTTTTTGTTTCTTACCTAGTTAAGGGTTGAGATCTTGCTAGTACACTGTAGTTGTTCAAATGAATAGTTTATGACTCTGCATGCTAAATGCTTTCAAACCATTTTCCTCATCTGCTGCTGGTCAGACTTCAGAGTTAAACATGTAACTAGGCTGAACTTTTACATGAATAAGGAGACATAACCTTGTTGCTACATTCTGTGTGTTCTTTTCAAAGACCTCGTCGATTTTCCTTGATTGCTGAGTACCATCTTGCTAACCTGACTGAAAATAGTGTAGTGGTTGGTGCTGATGACCTTGTCCAGCTCTTCAGTCTGAGTCCAGGACTGTTAGTAGGAACTTGGAAGGTAAGATAACATTTTGCTTCAGTATTTTACTATTATCTGAAGAAAAAAAAATTTTTTTTTGGCTTGTAGTTTGGGTTTGGGGAGGGGTTTTTTTAATAATTTTTTTCCCCTTTGGATTTTGAAACATCTTGTTTAAACTAGTAACCACAAAACACATGTAGGGACAGTAAATGGATGACTTATTGTATTCTAAATAGCTGTTGCTGGAGTGTATGTGCATTAAAAAAAACCACTTCTAATTAAAAGATCAGTCATGTATCATTCTGTGTTAGATACTGTGTTCAATTTTACTGATTTTGCAGTCTTCACATGCCCAAGTTTGATATCCTAGGATAATTTTTAATATAATGGTTTGAGAAGTGCTTCTTCCTGTGATTCATGCCATTACCTGTCCATATCACTCCAAGTGATGAGTTCCTACATGGCAGCTTAGCTTTAATCTACATCACCAGGTAGCTGTATCCTGCTCCAGCAGTAGAAATACTGTAAATCCTGCCCTTTTGGGGATATTAAATTCTTGGTATTAAGAGTCTAAGTTAAGCAGTTAGCCTCTCTAGGGTGGGTGGAGAGATGAATGTCTTTAGAGGGCAGGGCAGAACATCTGAAGTAAACTACGCAAAAGGAATCTACATCTTTGCATGGAATGCACTGGGACCTCTGATGCTATTGACGTTGACTTAGGTTATTTGGCACTGGCAAGGAGCTTCCTCAAGGAGGCTTCCTCAAGGAGTTCCTCAAAGTTGTGTCTAATTTCCAGCTGCAAACATGGTGCCTCAAATGTGCACAATCACCAGAGGCAACGTTTGAAACTGCAGAAGGACTATTTCTTTCACTCTTACTCACAGATAAGAGTGAAAGTCCATTTCATAGAAAACTTGAGACTGCCTGACCGGAACAAACCTGTTACAGGTTGTTTCAGTCTGTGAAAAGCTCTGCTAAATGAACAGCCATTTCTCTTCTATCTTCAGAAGTTTTGTAGACTGGTGTCCCTGTATTGTTGGCTCTGTGGTCTTGCTTGTGCATTGGCCCCATCCATGCTTGGAAAGAGAGCTCTTTCAGCACCTGGAAATGGTTCAAACATAACCAAGTTCCACACAGTTGTTAAGAATCAAGTGCCTCACTCTAGTATATTGTCCCTGCTTGCTTTTCTGAACAGCAGTTCCTATTCTCTGTGTAGGCAGAGTAATTCGAGGTAGTTAAGTGTCAGTGGGTGTAATAATTGTAAATGCCACACATCTTGTTTTTTTGCACATAGCTGCGTAACAGAAACCAAGGGCAGGTTACGTGGGCCTCCTGGTATTTGGATAGAGAAAGACTATGTGAGAAATTATGTGATTGATAGATCTCCCTAGTTAAGTCCTTTATAGCAGTAATTTTGCACTGTGAAAATACAGGAGTAGTTAAAAAGCCAAAAGTTTGAATAGAGGATGTAATTTTGTGGCAACCCAGAGAGATGAAAATGGTTGCCCATATTTCAGGACAGTAATAGACTTGTGTCAGTGACTAATTTTCCTATTGACTTAGGTGTTTGTAAATGTAGGATTTAAAAAATGCATTTAAAGAAAAAAACCTGTAATCCTAGCATTCTGTGTTCTTGAAGTAAATACTTGCCTCTGTCTCTCTTTAGTTTTCACATAGATGTTTTCTTTGACTATAGAAGGTTATGTTTTTAATGTTTTCCCAGGAGTAAATAATCTGGTGAAGACACAATTTTTACTTTGAAATTCACAAATTCTATTGAATAATTCTGTATTCCTCACTGATATTAGCCCTCTTTGGAAATAGTTCCTTACACATGAAAATATACTCGATGCTTCAGTAGTTGGGAGTAAGTGCTGTTTGATTCTGTTCAGGTATCTTTTTTAAAGTGGTAAGTAGAAGCTAGGGAAGTACAATTCTTGGATTGCTCTCATAATTTTTGCCTTGGCATAGCTAGCTTCCCTCTCTTCCCCCATAATACAAAAATGCTGCTATCTTTTATATATATTCTGTACTCTTCTGAAAAGACAATAAAGGTTTTAGGAGTTAAAATGTTAAAGCAAGCCATTACTAACATTATTGTAGTAATTGGCAGAGTAATAGGCAGCAGCTTTTATCTATGAATTTTAATGCTCAGAAAGACCTTGTGAGAAAAAGAATTTCCAGATGAAAATACATCTACTTTAATTAACTTTTCAGGAGAAAAATGAAATTGCTTTTGTTATGGCGAATCTTCATTATAATCAACTTCTTGAGAGAAGCATTTTGGGTTCTGCTACTGTGTAAGTTTGGTTTTCCTTTGTGTGTAATAAAGATAACCTTTTGAATAAAGCTTTGAGTTTTACAGTTAAAATTGGCTGCTTGTAAGAGGTTTATATTTAGGCAGTAATTAACCATTCTTGTTTAATATAAGCAACAGTTATAGTAACTGAATACAAAATTGTAGAAGCATTTTCATACTAAAATATTGCCATTGTTATGCTGTTAAGGAGATAATTTAGTTCTACAAGTGTTCTGGTACTTTCTGTATTGAGAATGTTAGAAATACACTGCACATACTTTCTGCTTTTTCACAAGCAGTCTTCTTTCTATCTGTTTCTATCTGAAACAGAAAGAAAAGAGAGAGACATTTCAGGAAGTAGGGAAGTAATCTTTGGCTGTGTAGGAGTGGGAAAGAAAGCTCTGGTAAACTGGTGAGGTGCCTGCAGTAATCTTTTAGTCCTATTGAGAAAGTAGCTGGGTTCCTATGAAGTGTTTGTATATGTGTGTATTGCACTGTATAGTATAATACGTGTTTATCCATTGTAAACTGTTTAAAAATATGAACTTTTTAAGCTTCAGAATAGTATTTGGGAAACTTATTTCCCACTCAGCTTTCTGGTCAGATACTGTTGTATCTACAACAGTAGATACACGAGTCTTAAATGCCCACTATAACTTAGTGTAGCTCTTCTCACACAGAATGTAAGATGTAACACCATCTCCCTTAATACCAAGTTGAATCCTATGTAGAAGTTGCTCAGTGGCCTCTGTCATGTGGTCTCTTTAGGTCACTTGTGTGTAGTGGTTATTTAGTCAGGCACAGGCAAAATTATTTCAATATTTGCTATTTCAAAGAAGTTTCTAGAGCTAGTGTACTTAGAGATTTGTAGTTAGGCTGATGTTTTTTTCTTTTTCGTAGACAAGTCCGTGTTCTGAAGTTTAACAGATGTACCTGTTAAAGTTGACTGCTGTATTTTCTGCCTTTGGCAAGGCTGAATAGCTGATAAGCAGTATTAGACACTGTATTACCTTAAAAGAAGCATGATGAACTAGAGATGTTTGATTTGAAAATTGTCTTAAGATGACAGTCTCAATGTATGCCTATGTGTTATATCTTTACTAAGTCATCCCCCACTTGCTAAATTCTATATATTTTTTTTTCAAGTCAATATGCTCCTCCACCTAATAAACCTTTACTGGATGATATTGACTCAGAATATGGACTGCATGACTACAGCCTGCATCTTGATCTTCATGGCAGGAACTGCATGTACCTGTGTGGATCCTTCAAGTGCCTCTTCTGCAGAAAACGTAAAGTTGATGGAGCAATGTCTGTTTTAAAAATTATCCCTGCTGTTACATCTTTCCTTCTTATATCCATTTTCTCTGTTTTAAGGGGTGAAACTTCAATGGAATTTTAAGAGTAAGCTATCTTCTGTTTGTGGCGTGGTTTCTTTATATCTGCATGGTGCTTTGTGTGGTGTCCTAAGCCGGCTCTGTCAGAAGTCTGCCCGCTGTTACTTTGACACCATGTCAGCCTGGGACACAAATTCTGCAGATTTTCAGGGTCTTTTCTTTTAGCTACATTAATAACGCACTGGCACAGTTCTTGGTGCACTTTGATGTTTCTTTCACTTGTATTTTATAAAGGAGAGATGGTTTGTCCTCATACATTTTGGAATCTTGTTTCTGTAAAATTCTACTCTAGTATACTTTGGGTGCACAGACAGATTAAATAGATAGATATATTTGTAGAAGTTTCTGTGAACTTTAAGATTTTTGGGCTTTTTTTGGTGAGCTTAAAGGTTGCCTGTTTTGACATCCTTTCATTGTGTGGAAAACAATTTCAGTCTTCTTCTGCTTCTTCATTCTGTTCTCAGCAGTTCTTTCCATGAGACGTGATTGACCATTCCTGTTGTTCTCATGCAACCCAAATTCATAATTTTACTGGGGTTTTGAAAAATACATGGGTGATCTCTCTTTTGAAGTTAGGTTCATCATAACTTCCTAAGCTACCCAGCTGTCTTTGTGTAAGCAGAGACGGAATAAATATTAGAATTAAGCATTGTCATTAGTTTTATTTAGAATTAAGTACTGTGAATTAATTATTGCTCCTCGGTATTTCTTTTTGATACCGGCACTCCTGAGCAGTGTGGGTTTCAGAACATATTGTTTTCTGTCAGTAGAGGGCGCTGTTGTCAGGCGTGAGTTCTTTTGCAGGGCTGCAGAATTTCGCCGTGATTCGGTTTGGTTTTTCTCATTTGTATTTGGTGATTCCAAGAACTGTCATTTAGACTGCAGCCTTGTGCAGCGTGGAGCGTTGTAATCCTTGAACCTGAAATATACATGTTTTGAGATTCTAGAAAAGCACCAAGCTTGAATTAAAAGAATACTTCTAAGGATAAAACTTCAGTGAAAGTCTATGCATATAGCAAGAAATCTTACATGAGGTGTTGTGTAGTACAAGAGTCCTCTTTATGTTCTCAAAAAAAATCTTCTCAAAATTGGCCAGAGGATTGGGTTTTTGGGATTGTGTTGGTTTTTCTTGTTTAGCTGAATATCACGTTTTGTTTTCTAAAATGAAAATGTTACGCTCCTAGCAATACAGTTGCACAAGAAAAAGTATTATGTGGCATACTTCCTTTCTTGGTATCACTTTCTTGCTGCTTAGAAGCTACTTCCACAAAGATTAACCTTATGATTATGCAAATAGAAGCAAATGTCCATGAGCTACAGTTGTGATGCCATCTCACTTTGCAAGTTACAGAAGCTGTGTTACGTTCACAAGTGTTTTCTGAGTTGCTTTGGTTTTGTGACCTTCAGCAGTGTGGTAGCCACCAGGGACACCAGACAAAGGACACCAGACAGCTGAAGCCATGGTTCTGCCGACAATAAGCTCATTTGTTATCTAGTCCCTTCCATGTGCTTGCACAATAATTCCTTTTGGAAAATGCTTGACTGCCTCCAAAAAGGTGTAGTGAGGCAGCATATGGCTGTCTGCTGTCACATTTTTCCTTGTGATTTTTTATTCATTTTTCTCATTCTGGTGAACATGGTGTTGCTGAATGTGGCCAGGTTTATCCAAACTGGTTACGTTTGATGGTTTGTGTTTTGTTTTTAGGTTCCATTCTAATAGTATGCTTTGTCCCATCCTCTGAGAGGATTCTGAAGCACGGAAGTCCTGCAGCATACTGGGAAGTCTTGCTATTTCTGAAAATTCTCTACGCAGTCCAGTTTTATTTTAAATCACAGATGTGACATGCCCATGGCAGTTTCCATAACTTGAGGCACATACCAGTTGTCAGCTAGTACTGTTGTTTTACTTATTGATTGGTTTTCACTAGGAAGCTTTAGGCATTCCTAGGTTACCAGAGAATGCCCATTTGTATTTTGCAGAATAACTGATTTATTTGTCCAAGATCAATTTTTGTGGGCTTTTTGCTAGTATCTATTAATATTGTGCTTAATTTTGCTGCCCCATTTTCAACTCATTTTGCAGAATTCTTAATTTTAAATTAGAAAAGGTTATGTCACACTTCATTGGACCAAGTAGATGGAATGTATATGGCTACAGATTTTTTTTTTTCTCTTATTATGCTTGCATTGCATTAACTAGCTGTTTTGCCACTGTTTTGGTTGGGGTTTAGCATTTTATTTTACACTCCCTTTCATGTAAACAGAATTAGTAATATGATGTCATCGACAGGTACTATAGGTTGAATATGTTAAATGCTGTGTAACTGAATTGAAAATATTTAGAAAACTTTCCATGTTTTCAGGAAGTTATGACAGGCTTTTCATATGACTCCCAGAAGCCATGAATCCAACTTCTTAATAAATGTTTTTAAAATGTATTTACCTAGGTTTTCAACTTTCTAAGCACAGCTTTGTAGCCACATGGTAGTTTAAGCTTTCACTTTTCAATGTAATTTCTTGTTGATGTAAACTGATGTGTTGTGCTTGCAAAATGCAAGGTTTGATTTTTGTGTATTTAGAGAACTTTTAAGATTTGTTTGTAAAATTTCATATCAGGCATTTTAAATGTTTTGCTTGACCTTGAAGATTGATTTGCAAGTTTAAATAACCATTTCACTGTGGTAAGGTTGGTTGTTGGCCCTTGAATTAGTGTTAAGCACAGCTTTTCCTCTGAAAATACAAATCAAATGACAACTTGCAACCAAGGCTTGGTTAGCAAAACAAACTTCCTTGGCTTTTAGCTAGAATAAGTGCTTTGAAACTATTGGTCTATTTGTTTCTTTCCCCTGAGGTTTGTCTACATGGTATATGTTCTCTTTGTTGGTATTACCTTCATTTGGAAATCTTTGTTCACTATAACTTACTCTGCTGCTTTGCTGCTCTGCGTGTCTTGCATAAATGAAGGACTAGAGATATTATAAGGGGACAATGAAACAAAGTCTGACTCAGGCTGAAGAAAGCCATGTTCAATTTGCTTCCTCTATGTTTCTGTTCATATGTTTAACATAGCTTAACCTGCCCTTTAATTTCATTTTCTCTCCTGACTGGCTTGGGGAAAGGGAGATTTCAGTACTTAGCCTTCAATTTCTTGCTTGTTTCTAGGCAGGCTTTTCTTTCCTCCTGAATGAGAGGACTGCAATGGAGCTTTTATATTAAAAAAAACAAAGTCTGGATTAACCAACCCATGAATAATTAGCCTTCAGATTCCTGATCTATTGCCTATTTCCATTCTGGCTAGAGTTAAGGAGTAACTGCAACACATCATAGCCAGATGATGTATCTAGCAGTGGTGTATTAATGCCATGCAATAGTAGTGATATCCTGGGCTTCATTAATTTATTAGCAGAAGAAAGCTTTTTTCAATCCATTTTTATTCCATTAAAACTTCATTTGATCTGAATGAGTAAGACAAATAGCCACTTCCATTCAGATTGGAATTGTGCATAACCAGGTAGTCCTTTTGGAAAAAATACTTGTTGACTGATGTTTTCAAGCTTCTTGTATAAAAGCTCAACTTTAAATGTAGACTTTCAGTGGTTAGTCAGTAAACTATTTCACTAAGATATTTTTACCTTGAATGAAATTTTGTCATTGATTTTGATTTACTGAGGTTTTGGAACTGAACCACTTGGACAGGTGTCAACTTATGGCCTTTTTCTACTTTGAGCTGGATCCTGGAAATTAATTCTGCTTACAATTTCCTCACTGATTTCTTTTGCACTTCACTGCAAGGACAGTGAGTATCACCGTTTGAAGGACTGCGTCTTCCTTCAACTATACAAAGTATTTCCTATAAAATATTTCCTGGACATAGTCATGTTGGGTTCACTGTATTCACACTCCTATTCCAAACAGTATCTGTACTGAAAAACCTGCAGCTGTTGTTCTCTGTCATGGGTTGGGCTGCTTCCTTTCCAGAATAAGTGTTCTTTGGACTCCCCACTGGTGAGTGATGCCTTTCCAGTATTGGTTTGTGGCCAGCTGTATCTTGAGAGTTGCTTAGCTCTACAGTACCAATTCTGAGAAGTTTTTGGCCTCTGTGTTAAAGTGTGGGCTTTCTTTCTCCATCACTGCCTCCAACTATCTGCTTCAAGTAGCCACCGAGCAGAGGTTTTGCTGCCACTTTATGCTGGATGCAGCCATTGAACTCACAGCCAGCCTTTCTGATGTTGCTTCTGTCTGTAGCCTCATTCTGCTATTTTGGGCTTGACTGAAGGAGAATCACAGGCAAAACACTTCTGCCTTTTTTCACTTCCGTCACTTGCATCTTAAATCTCTGCAAGCCCCTTCACTTATTACCTTACCATCCAGGACCTGCTACTGGATCTTGACAAGCATTATGTTCCTGGGAATCCTTCTCTCCCTTTGTATCTATCTCCTGCAAGGGCTAGGTACTTTCTTCTAGTGCTTTTGTTATGCTTTTTTGAGAGGGTATCTGTTGTTCAAGGAAACTTGTTTAAGGGATGTCCTACCAAGAAATCTGCTTGTGTCATGATGTGATGCTTTTATTTTCACTTTCCTGTGTAATCAGATCATGTTCACTATGATGTATCCCTAGTTATAATTAGACTGTTGGATTCCCTGGTTTACTTTCCTTCTCTCGTAGCAAAGGAAAAAAAAATTAAAAATGCCAATCTCTTTCAAGAGGAGAGGAAGAGATTCCAAAGAAATATGGTTATATGTAGTAATAAAAAAAATCACAAATCATAGTAATTCTGCCAAAAAAAACCCCCAGGGGCCTTGGAAAGCTGTTTAAAAAAATGAAAAAAATCCATAATTTCAAAACTTGATTCAAATCAAATCATACTGCGTGTCAATTTAAATGATGCATTATCTTTTCTAAGGAGGAATAGTTATCTGTATATCCTTTGTATTGGGTTATTTGAGTTTCCAGTCAGAGCTGAGAGATTTAAATAACTTGAAAAAAAAAAAAAGGTTGGGGAGGTATCTCATTGTTTTATTGTGTGTTAGTGTTGAGCTTTACTTCTGGGGAATGGAAAGTGATGGAGGAACTGGTGGCATGAAATTCAAAGGCTGGATGTGAAATTTACTCCTTGCATCCTTGTGTAAGTTCTTTAGGTGGCATTCCTATTTTTATACTAAAAAATACAAAATAATTTTTATCTGCAGTTTCTACTGTGGATCACAGAACCAAAGCTCCAAACTGCAACTTAATTTTTCTTTAAAGTGCTTGATATTTAGCTGTTGGTGTATGCCAGGGTCTTTATTGGTGAGTGGGAAGAAAAAGACATGGAAAGAAGACAAGAGAACATTGACAGTGTACTTGGGCTGAATTTGATTTATACTGCTGTAATGTTGTATATTGTTTATATTTTCAGGTGACATTGAAAATGGATACCTGAGGCTCAGAGTTGTGAACTTAAAGGATAATAGGAAGCACTTGCCTATTGTTGGGACACTTGGCATATGCTGGGAAACAGATGTGTTTAAAGGCAATGTAAAGGTCAGAAATATTTTTGTTTCTGGATATGCTTACCTCAAAACAGAATTATGTTTGTGCATCCTAAATAGGCTAATTTTTAAACAGTCTTTTGATTTGTAGAAGCTGTATGTAACTGGACAAAACCTCTATTCCAATATTGAAAAAAAAGTAAATTTTGAGGAAAAGAATTTTCTCTTTCTCTCATGGAGTCTGGATTGCATAACAGACCCATTATCTCTGTGTAATTACTCCAGTGCTTTCCTCTCAGCGAAGATGCTGTGACTGGCCAGCCCAGTTGGAAATGCCAGACAAAAAAATGTACTGCAGATGTACTTTTTGTGAAGATTTTTTTTTTTTTTAATTTGTTGTGAGAGTGTTACTTTTTTTGTTTTGTGTTTTTTGTTTCTTTTGGTTTGGTTTTTTGGTTGGGTGATCGGTTTTTTTTTGTGAGCAATAAGCCTTGAACCTCTGGGGAAATACTCTGCAGTTTTGTGCTGTATATGCAGTGAAAGTTAGGAACTGCTGGGGAATGTTAAAATGCCAGTGGACAGAGGAAACTACAGTCCACATCCACACAGTCAGCACCTAGCTCCAGTCAGGTACATCAGTCAGCTAGATTAACTCTTTATTTTTAGAGGAATGCTCACACGTTCTATTGGGTAAAATTCCTAAAAGAATTCCAAACAAAGATTCAGAGAAGTTTTGTAGCTTTCGTAGTAGTGATGAAGGCACATATTTTTAAATGTACTGTATCAGCATGAATGTTTCAGAAGTTGTGAAAATTCTGATGAATATAATTTAAACCCTACTGAAAAATCATCTAGTTCAACATTTGATTCAATTTCAGTGCTTCTTTTGAAAAAAAAAAAAAGCCTCAGAATGAATAAAACTGTTGCTTCTGCCAATCCTGTTTAAATGTGGAATGGAATACTGTTTGATAAAATGAGAGTTTTTTTACCAAGGCTTGTAGTGACGAAACAAGGGACAATGTTTTTAAACTTTTTTAAAAGAGGGTAGATTTAAATTGGACATTGGGAAAAAAAAAGCTAAAATATTCTTTCTCCATGCTGAGCTTGGTGAGGCAGGGAAGTTGGAATTAGATGACTTATAAAGGTCCCTTCTAACCCAAATAATTCTGTGATTCTATAGGATTAACAGCTGCTTGGCAGAATCTATTTTTTTCTAATGAAAAAAATTCTGAGTAGTACATAAGAATTTAGGAAGTTACCTGTCAGAGGAAACACAGAGCTATGGCTGTAGTCTTTAGTTGTTTCAGTTTTAGTCTTTCTCCTATGTGCTTATAGCATAAATTATATTGAATATTTGTTTCTAGGGCAAAATAAAGAATACATTGGTTTTTTTAAACCCTCATTTTGTGATGACAGATGGAAAATGTCAGCATATAGCTGTGGGTTTAATTCAGTGTGGTTTTTACCCTAAGTCTAAAATTCTTAAAGCATGTGAAGAATAATATCAGCCACAGAAGCAGGACATTCCATTACTTTGAATTTATTTTAATTTTGTTTAATACTCTAAAGAAAACTAAAAAACCTGAAAACTTTCTTGGCACTTCTGGGTTTTTTAATAAAAAATTAATTGCTGAAGTACAGGTAGTTGGAAATTGTCATGGCTTAGGAATGGTATTCTCCAATTTAGTATTCTCACTGTAACCACTCCAAATCACACTCCACTGGCTTACTTTCCACTTCCTCTCCCCTGTGTTGGGCTGGAGAGGAGAACTGGAGGCACAAAAGGTTAAGATCAAGGTTGAGATAAGAGCAGTTTACTGGAAGCAGCAATGAGATAAGAAAGTGGAGAGTAGCAGCAATAATATTAATAACAAGAATGTACAAGACAGGGGAGTGATTTGCATGCAAATGCTCAATGTGGAGCAAAGGGAGAAGAAAGCCCTTTCCTTGCCCCTGGAAATGAGGTGAGGTGATACAGAACAACCTCCCTGTCTTAGCCATGCTCCCTCCTGGCTACTGCAAAAATTAACCTGATCCTGACCAGAACCAGGACAGAAATGCATGGGAAGACTCCACCATCCCACCACACAACACCACCCCACTTTACTTTTCATAATTGACCTTTTATATGCAAGTTGTCAGACCAGAAAATAGTGATTATTTCTTGTTACCAGTGATTCTGCAGCTCATATAAGTTTATTACGCCATCATTAGGTTTGGTTTGAATTTTCTATTTCCAGCATAGACTACAGTAAAAAGCTTCGGGAAACTGTGTGTATCATATTGCCTCATGTTTGTGCCATCTGCCCTTGTGTTTGATTGAAGTAAAGTAATAGTGAAAGCAATGTTAGAGCAACAGAAGCACAACTATGTAGTACAGAGAAATAAAGCATTCCAAATGAATTTTTTTGGCATGAAGTATGTGGTGTTGGTTTGTTTATGCTTTTGGAGCACAGATACAACATAATTAAGATAATTTGATTCATTTAATGATTCAGAACTCATGAGAATAAGGAACAGCTGATACTAACAATGACACATTACTGCTATGCTTCCAAGGGATATGTGAAACTATCAGTTTGCAAAGACCAAGGAATTGGCATTAACATTTCTAAATTATCTAGTTGTGTAATCTTGTAAAGAAACATTTTCAAGAATTTGTAAAAGGAGGAATTACATCAAGGTTATTAATATTACCTTTTTTGGGAACTGAAGCTGTGAGCCTTTCAAAGAGTACTGTATACAGCTGGCTTGGAAGGGTAATTGTGTGTGTACTGCCTTGGGTGGTCCCTGAGTATCTTTGCCAACATTGCTGCATTCACACAAGTATAGTAGCCGACTTTAAACTTAAGTTGCTTTCTCATATTGAAGGGACTATCATTATTTGAATGGTAAAATAACTAATAGTTGAGAAAAACAGATGTTAAGGCCTTAAAAATGTTAAAAAGAAGTAATGTCTGATTTGGTTTGGCAGTGGTACCTTCTGTAGCACAGTGTTTGATGTGTGTAGGTTGCAATTTCGATTTCTGTGGGAAACCTCTAAGTAAGTTTTTGTTGCAGTAGGTCAATGAAGCACTATCAATTTTATTTTGAGGTTTTAGCCTTTGTACAAAACTCTCTGAACCCTTGATATGTCTTCTAAAATCAGGGACAGATCTACTTACTGTGCCATGACATAGGGAAATCTCTTCTGCTTGTGTTTGTAGGACTGCTTTGTGATGGATCTGACTCTCTTGGATGAAACTGGAAAGCCCTTCTGGTGTTTTAGTGCTCCAGTCCACATGGAATTGTCTACCAAGTCATCTGGCCTTTATGACTACATGGGTCATATCTATACTGCAGACTATGCAGATTCAGAGGGTAGAGTCTGTGTTGAGTTTGTATGGTTGGAAGAAACCAAGGAATATATTATAGTCAGTTTGGTGCTTTATGTAAGCACCAAAAAGGTAAATAGCTGGTGTGGAACAAACTACTGAATTAATTGGGTCACTAATTTCCTTGCTTTAAGAACCAAACAAACAACTCTGCTACAACAAAAAACACAATAAAACGTTGATGCTTAAGATTGACACCAACAAGCAAGACTGTTCCTGCAAGTTTTCCAGCAACAAGTGCAATTGCCTAAATTTATTTAATAGGCAGTTGAGGAATTGCAGAGACATATTGATATAAGTGAGAGGTTTTCTTCTCTGTTGAACATTACATGGTTAGTCTGTTTCTCACTGGCTATATTGAAATTATTTTTAGGAAGATTTGTCTTTATAGACACTTGTTACTATGGTTAAAGAATTGCTTCTTTTGAGAGCCAAGCTGTGAAGATGCCTTACCTTACATAAGCTACACTGGTTTTGAGAGCATTGACTTTTATGCTTAGTAAAAAACAGCATGTGTGCTGTTCCCTCCAGGTTTGTTTGAGTCTAATTGGTAAATGAGAAGTTTTGTTAAACACGTTTTGTTAACCCTTCTTCCAGAAAAACTTCACTGAAATATATTTTAGAAAAGATTGAAAGGCTAGATGGGAAGTCAGATCTGAAAAATGTGTCAGTCAAGGCATTTGTTAAGAAAGTAATGTAAAATCTGGTTATGACATTTCTTTATATTCCTGTTTGTTCTGTTTTCCCATGTTCTAACATTGTATGATTGACACTAGATATTTGCCTCACATATTGGCCTAGTGAATGTATGTAGCATTCAGTTGTTTTGGAAACAGTGCATATCTGATATTGTTTATCAAAAAATATGAATCCATGTAAAAATTGAATATATGTGCCTGATTTTCCAGTTCCATGGAGTAACTTTAGGATCAAATTTTCTACTTATTGTATTAAAAAAAATTAAAAAATTACTTGATATTGTGAGTGCAGTGTCATTACCTAGCGAGGACAATTATATTGTTGCCTGTTCTGACTTTATTATGGTAGTGATTTCCTTAAAAATAAATTATCTCTGTATTTGTTTATATACATTAATTGGTTTGTGCAAACAATGCTCATATGCATTGTCTACAGAGGTAGATAGATATTACAGCTATTAATGTTTTTCTTAATTTAACTTTCAAAGACAATAACCTGAGGCTGATACAGTCCTTGTTCAGCTTGTTAATCTTACCTAAAGAAGCAGCGGAAATGTTTCTGCATTTTTTTGTTAGCCAGACTAACAAGAGTGATCCAGCTGCATTTTGTCTTCTTTCTTACTGACTGTTGATGGGGACAGGGATCCCTTGAAGTGATTTAAATGTTTTAACATGTGGACTGGGTGTGATGAATGCCAGAATGACAGACACTGAAAGTGTGATCTCTGCAGACAAGTACGCAGTCTAGATTTTTGGTTTTGCCCAAAATTTTTGCCCTAGTTGTTGAGATACCAGCTTTAGCAAGAAAATAGTAGCTCAGTCCCAAAATTTTCTTAATCATTGGCCTTACTGCTAAGCTTGTAAAGAAAAATGTAGAATTATTCTGGATACATTGTTCCTTTGAAATGTGCAAGTATATTCTCTTCCCTGCTGTGAAGCGACCAAAGATAATGGGCACCCAGCAGCATCAAATGGTGAAAGGTCTGTCACTGTTCATTCTAGCTGAATTTTTCTTGTATTTCCAGAGTTTCTGGGTTTAGGGTTTTTTTAATAAAAGTGAAGTACTTTCTTTAATAAGCAATTTCAACTTCTAATTAATTTGATTATTTTATACATTTATTTGATTAATTTTATTATTTTATACAATTGAATGTTTTATAGAAAATGCTGGCATCACTGTTGGAAGTTGAATAGGAGAGTATGCTGTCCCTACCCCTGACAAGCTAATCTAGCAGCCTGAAAGTTTACTAACTGTATTGATTAGGATGAGAGTAAGTCTTTAGCAGCACTGTCAACCTAAAAGGTGATACAAGGCAGAGCAGTTTTGTCAGGTTATTTCTGGCTTACTTCTGCTGTGCATAAATGTGTGTTCAGCAAACCCAAGCAAACTGTTCCAAGATCTTAAAAAATGTTGCAGATTAAAAAATGTTGCTGTTGCAGAGCTCTTCTCCTGTATCTTCACTGGCTATAATTGTGTCCTTTCTGAAGATGTGAAGGATATGTCCTGAAACAGATGGACTTAAACTTGATTTCATATTTATGCCACTCCTTTGATTTCAGCTGATAGTTTTAACGTGCACAACAGAAGTAAATTCAGTAGCTACCACCTGTATGATCAAACCTGGCAAGTTACATATCCTTAACTCAAGCTTCCATTTCTTCAGCTCTCATCTTCTTTTCTTTATATAAATAAGGACACAGACTGAACTTCCAAGAAGGAAAGGGTTTACATTAGGTAAACTGCACTGGTCCATTTCGTGGAAGAACACATGTGTTCCAAAAACTGATGCTTTGATAAAATCGTCTTCTGAGTCCCCTTTTATATACCTGGTGCAGAAGGTGGTAGAGCGAGTTGCATGTACCATTCTACAATATAAGATTCTTGTATAAAAGACAATTATTAGAACAAACAGGAAAGATTGAGGCACCAGTTGAAATCTCGTCATGTCACAACTGATTTCGACAATAAGCCTTACAGCACATTTTTCCTTTAATGACTCAAGATTTTTCTTGCAGCTGTTTTTAATAATTGTTGCATACTGAAGACAGAACAATGTGTTTCTTGTAATTTTATGCTTTATACAAGTAGTAAGACAATTTCTGTGAGAGGAAGTATAAACACTTGTAAGTTAAAGATTTTACTTGTATTTGTGCACTTCAGGTACCAACACGTCCAATTAAAAATAGAGAGCCCCTACCAACTTACAAATGTATATGTTTAAGTACTCTGCAACAGATAGAATGGTGATATTTTTAGAGGGCAATTTACATGGTAAGCAAGCATAAAAACAGTACTTATGTTTATTTTAGTGCAGATATAATAGTGCTCATTTAACATAATGAGTTTAAATTGCATTGAAAAGGAATCAGTGTGAAGGAGTGATTTAGTGAAAGGGCTTTCATGAGATTATTGTAACAGTAGAGGAGTTGTCATCTAATAGAACTACATCTAAATGTTAATCCTGCCATTTATCCTTGTTTTGCTAGATATCTGCTGTGTACCTAACTTTCTGTATTCTGTGTTTGTTATTTTTTAAAAATTATTTTTAGGAGGTATTTCTAAAAGGAAAATACCCTTCAGTGAGCAATTTGTTAATATTTTTGGGCATTTAATATGATCTTCCATTGATACAAGCTGGAACTGTTGGTTTATATCATCTGAACAATTGTCTTTAATTTTAATAGTGCCACTGTGGAATCATTGCTCTTTACTGCAGTTGGCTTACTATAGTGGGAAGCTAATAGCAGCTATAGATTCTGAAGTCTTTGTAGCATAGGCAAGTAATCACAGTATTTTTCTTCCAACTGGCCTGTCAGTTGCTTTGGTTTTTCTTCCCTTCTTTTTGCAATTGCTTTTATAATATATTTCAGTTCCAATGTGCTTTTTGACATCTCTGATTTAATATGGAATGTAATTGTATGCTTTCCATATGTATTTGAATGACTCATTGACTTTGCTCTTCTCTGTCTGGCCTCTCTCCCTGTTTAGCAAGTATGTTTTGATTTGTATTCATCCACTAGGTGTTTTGGTATGGTTTTGATTTTGTTGAAACTGTTCTCATTGTCATGTGCTTGCTTTTAGAAACAAGGACTATCTTCCATGTTTCCACCACCCCAGGTACGTGGCTACCTGATACTAGGAATTGAGTGCTTAGCAGAAGTATATAAATAGGATACTGTCAGATGAAATGGATTAATTCTGTTTCAGATAAAGAATCTAGGCAAGTGATCAGGTTTTATAGGTTAGGTATATGTGAATGATTTACTGCCTAGTAACAGTTACGCAGTAGCCTACATTGTATTTCCCAGACTGTTCAATGTATTCAAACAATTAGAAGGAGATTTAGGTAAAAGCATTTGCTCTTCTGCTTTTGTTGCGTACTACTGTGGTTCAGTTAATCTGCTGTGCCTAAGTAAGTTGTGATAACTGAACTTGAGCTCAAACATAATTGCATTAGGAACTGTACAGAAAAAAAGGTATTTCAAGAAGCTCAAATGAGAACGAGTGATGGGTTTTAATCTCTGTTTGTGTGTAGTGAGTTGGAAGGAAATTAGTATGAAAAGTTAAAGCTTGTCTCTTGCAAGCATCATAAGTCAGAGGGGGAAATGGTGGAAATAGGGATAACTAGGGAGTTGTGTGGTGAGGAATTTATCATTCTGAATGTCAAAGCAGTGCTTATTCTATTCTTTCTGACTCTTAAATGGCTTAAACTTTTTTCTCATGCTGTGCCTCTAAAAATGTAGGTGAAAAAGGAGTAATGTGTTAATGCACTTCAGTTGTAGAAGGTTTATAATGAAGTTGAAAACTAAGTCTTTTAAATTTATTGAAAAAAGCTAAAATGTGAGTTATTCTTTCTGTGTTTAAGTTACTCATCTCCTTTTGAAGAGCAATGAACCTTTTGAAGGGAAATGCACTTCTGAGTCAAACACTGATCATCTGTTGGTAGGTAGAATTACTTCTGTTCTGCATATAGGCCACTTAGAATATGTGTTAACAGTTATTTGTGTCCTGAATCAGTCATGAAGTTAAATTCAGCTGTCTTGATATGTTACCCAAAAAATGCAAGGTAGAGAAAAATGTGTAATAGCTCTGTTATGCCCTGTTTATTCACTGAAATACTATAAAGCAGTTCAATCTGCAGGGGTTAGAAAGTATTTAACCATTGAACAAAAAATACCACTATCAAACTTCTCAAGCTAATGCAAATGCTTAACATATCAGAGCTCAGAATCATCAATATCTCTTCTGTACCAAACAAACAATATACTTCAAAATAGGGCAGAAAAACCCTTGTTTAGAAGAATCTGAAAATAAAGATTATAGATTTAAAAAAACCCTAACAAAACCCTAAAACCTTAGAAAGTATACTGAAAACTCTCAGGGTTTGGAAAAATATGGAAATAATGAATAGTTATTCTGACTTGTGATTATTGGTGGCTCTTAGTTCATTGTTTTCTCATTTGTTTTTAACACCTTGATTTGCAACTTCCCCTTTTCTGATAGAAATGTGCAATGACAGGTACACTTGTGTACCTAGTGAAAACATTTAACAAAAATCTTGAAAGAGAAGAAAAGTACTCTGTAACTAAATAATTTTATTTTGGGTCTGCTGCCTGGATGAGATGGTAAATAAAACAATATTTTTGAGGAAAAAACCTCATCATAGTAACTATACCACAAGTCCACCATGTTTTGTTCTAATAACACATGTATATAATGACCTTAAAAATTCAGTTTTAATTCTATTGTAGAGTAGTGAATGGAATATTTGTGTGTGAGCAAAGACAGAACTTTGTAAGATTAGTGTTCACCATCCTGAAGAGACATTTAGTGAACAAGTAATGGTGTAATAGAATTACTTAGTAATTCTTTAATTTCAAGTTTTGCACCTGCTCTCACATATTGTAGGACACATTGTAAAGATTGAACTGGAAATTACACTGTCTTTAGGAAGTAGTAGAAATAATGGATAGCATGCTCTTTTTTAGAAACTCAGCATTTCATGTTTACAACTTATATATTCAAAGTGCAAGCAGAAGGCAGTTATTTTGGCCTTCAATTTTCACTATTTTTTGTAACTGTGTAGGAATTTGTGGAGCACAAGGATTCTTGCCCATATTCTTCAGTATTTCTGAAGGATCATAACTGGAGTCCCAATCATAAGGATTGGGACTCCAGTTTCATGCAG